GATGTATTCCAGATACTACAAAAAAGAAATGACAAACTGGCCAGTAAGTGGGTAAGAAACAAACAAGATGTATTCCAGATACTACAAAAAAGAAAATATTAAGAAATATTTCAAGTAAATATTAAATATTAATAACTATCCACACCCCCAATCCCATCATGTAATGTGGTTGTTATCCTAAATAATGTCCTGGTACAGGCCTATATTTCAAAAAGATAGAGCTGTCCCAGGGACATTCATATCAAATCAATATGAAATCCAAATCCATTGTTCCTAAATCACTGATCGGGGCTGGTTATTAAATCCAATCAAACACTCAGGCAAGGGCATTCTTAAAAATAAAGGCCTCGCCCTAGTGTTTGATCCTTTACATCATTGTTTAAATAAATCAAAATAATTGTTCTCTGAGGGTAGCAATCAATAGCCACTAGCTACACTGTAACAAACCTGTGGCCCTCGTTTAAGGATGATTGAATCGGAAATAATAATAAGAAATCTTATTTGCTCATAGAGGAAACCAAAGAACTAGCACAGGAAAGACACCTCCTGTAGCTATGTTAGAGGGAAAAACTGGGCCAAGTTGGCATTGACAGAGCATCTGATAAAGTGCAAGGGTATGATTCCGCACTTTTGATCTAAAATCACACTGAATTGCACTACTTATCGCTTTCCGCACTATTTGTCTTTTCCAGCCCTATTTGTCATTTCCGCACAATTTTCAAAAAAATAACCTAAATAAATCACCCATTATTTATTAAATGTTAAAATTCAACCAGGCATTTGTTAATCAGGATGTTTTTGGCAGGAATGAGCAGGAAATAACAAATGAATTTAAATCTGTATTTTTCCAAGATGTTGTCTCTATTTTTCCCCTAAACTGGCTCCAGAAATATGCACTGCAATGCCTGAACTAGACCCAGGCATTTACTCCACCTAAGATTGAACACCAAGTCTGAACATTGATAAGAGGCAGCAATTCCATTGCAGAACTGGCAGATTTGAGATGAAATGAGAAATGAAAAATTAACAATAGTTAGCAACAAATGGGATCTGAATTTACCACAACAAAACCTGGCTCTTCATATTGCAACTGCTTTAGATGTAAAAGACCAACCCCTCCTGTTAAGAGCAACAACCAACAATCAATCAGTTAATAAGGAGCTATTTTTATTATAAATAATATTGATTTTGTTGGTAAAAACTACAGTAAAACCCATATTTACTGTAAAATACATAAGAAACAAATTTTAGTAAAAATACACAGGTGATTATTGAAAATCTCGTGCGCTGATTGGTCGAGAAACTCACACTATCACACAATAATCACCTCCAGCGATAATCCAAAATGGCAGCCAGCCGCTTCATTGCTATTACCGGGAAAATATGTCTTTTATCTTCTTTTTTTTTCTTTTTTTTTTTGAGAGAATCACCTGTGTATTTATACTAAAACAATTATTTGCCTCAGCCTCAGTGAATATTGGAGAATATTATTTTACCTTGCCGCTCGAAGACTTGCATCTCGGTAAATATTCCCTGATATTCACTTCGCCTTCAGCAAAAAAATATTGTCAAATAATCACTGTACCTGACAAAACAAGGAAGACATTATAGATGAAAACAAGGCCAATGTTAAACAAGGATTTCCTGCAGACAGATTATTCATACCATCAAATATTACCAAGAGTTTTATAAATACTAAATGCTAAACAGAGTAACAAAAAAATTCACATTTATTTGAATTGTAACACAGTAGAAATGACTAGGATTCAAGTGGCCCATATTTAATAGTTTCTGTTTTAAAATTGTGACTTAAAAATGTATTATGAAGTTATTAAAAATCAATAGTACAGTGCCCAAACTAATCATAATGTCGCGCAGAAAAATTTTTTATCGCGCCGACGTGAATAGACACAATATGATATGTAGTAAAAGCAAAAAATGCTTACTTTTCTAATGTTGTATTTAATTTGCAATCAGGCGAACCGATTGATCTCGATTTCTCATCATCACTGGTTACTACATTGATAAGCGAAAATATCTTAAAAATAGTTTGTCAGAGACCGAAATTAATGCATTTTGTGGATATCAAGGACTCCGTTGATATTTCATAGATTAACGATCCAAAAATATTAAAACTCAAATAATTTTAAAACTGAACAATGAAAATCTCTGAAACTTTCTGACCTTGAAGACTACCATAGTATGTTTCAGATAGTGAACTCCGTTTCTCTGGGTCTGGCCAGATTACGCCAAAAAATAAATTTAAAAAATAATCACATGAGGTCACTGTGCCTTCAGGGCGTGTCCAATGGTCACGAAATACACACGATTTAAAACTTCCATCTATCCCTACACTTAGTATAAACTCATATTTGGCCAAGGTATATCTGGTGCAGCGCTTTTTGCAATACAAGTAGAGGAGTTGTGCTTCAAAATTATTGTATCGAGCCACCTTAAATGTTATATTTAACTGTATATTGTATCCATATAAAACTAAATTATAATATAAATATGAAATATATTCAGTTTTGAAAACAGGTGCTAGATTTGCCTCCAAGTTAATATTTAGAACGATACCTACAGTAGCTTTACAAATCTTTTTGCATCCACCTAATATACAGTGTATGCAGCTAATATTTGTAGTTTGAGGCTGTTTTGAATTATTGTAGTTTTGATAATCAACTTGTCAATCATTAATTGTTTAAAAATGAATAAAACTCACCATATGTATGGTAGAAGACTATAGAGGATAGTTAATTGTAATGCTAGTACACTTATGACAGATGTCACAATAGAACTGCAAAAAATATATATATATACTAGGTATTAGTATATGTAATAGGACTCCATGCTGTCCAATTACATGTAAGAAATAATTGGACGAGGAAACTTCTGAGGACTGACAAAATTGGATGAGGCCGTAGGCCGAGCCCAATTTGGCAGTCAGAGGAATTTTTCAAGTCTAATTATTTCTTAATTGGGGAGCATGAAATTTAGTAGAAATTAAAAAAATTTAGTATGAGGTTTATTTATGTAAGTCTTCATGTCTCAAAATACTGACTCTTGAAAACTTCTTTAAAAAATAAACTTAAAATCCTCCATTTTACCCTTTTGAAACTGACAGTGATTTCTTTATATATCATTGCCTCAAATAAAAAATAACTGGCATATTATTAATTTTGGTACAAGCATCCAAGCTACTTTTAGGACAAATTTGATTTTTAAAAAACTGTCCAAGTTCTTGAAATACGGGAAATTTTTCAAAAACAACAAAAATGCTAGAAGTAGGAAATACATTCAATTATAGGGAATATATATACTGTAGGAGGATCATAAAAATCATAGGATACATAAGGTCTGAGATACTTATACCCTTTGAGCAGAGTCTCCTTTTATTTACCTCCTCTCCTTTCCTTCTCTCGCCCGTGGAGGAGGTAAATTTAAAAGGAGACTCTGCTCAAAGGGTAGGATGCTTATGATGCTTGACGTAATAATACAGTGTAATCTAATGACCACTATTGCAGTTGCTATTATTAATTCAAGAAGAAACTTAAATATCACAATTCTACTAGCTATGTTCAATAATACCTCTTCTTGCTCTTAGAGGTATGTTCAACCAAGTACATTCCCATCAGGCAAAGAACAGATACTCCAAACAACCTAAAGTTATTTTTCAATGTAAAAATAAACGATTAATTCTTTATTATGATTTTTTTTAAATATAATTTCTTTWAAAAAATTGAAAAAATAAAAAAAGGAATAGAGGAACATAAAATGGCCAGGAGATGTAACAATTTTTTCTACATGAGCTATTTTTTTATTTCATTTTATTTCATTTCACATAACTTCATGTTCAGCAACTACAACAGAGTTAGTTTGCAATTTCAAGATTTTTGTCTTAAATGCGGATCAACATAATAATTACATGGAAATCTGGGAATAGACCTGCATCAAGTTTTTAACTACAGCCGTATCATGGAAGACTATCATGGGAGGGGTGGGTGGTGCAATATTTAACAATTATTTGCTGAAGGCCAAGTGAATATCGGGGAATATTTACCGAGACGCGAGTCTTCGAGCGGCGAGGCAAATATTCCCCAATAATCACTGAGCCTGAGGCAAATAATTGTTTTAGTATAAATAMACAGGTGATTCTTTCAAAAGAAAAAGAAAAAAAGAAGATAAAAGGCTTTTTCCCCCCCAGTAACAGCAACAAAGCGGCTGGTCACCATTTTGGATTTTCGCTCGAGATGATCGATTATCGTGTGATAGTGTGAGTTTCTTGACCAATCAGCGTGTGAGATTTTCTATAATCACTTGCATATTTTTACTAAAAATCGATAATTATATTGATATAATGCTTACATTTCCCCTGCAAGATAGAAGAGAGGCAAAACACATGGTATGAAGACACAGGCAAACTTCTTTGTGTGGAGGCAGGATCCTGGATTGAATATAACTGAATCTTTTACTCCTTCTTCTTCCTCTTCAGTAACGACCTACAGAAATGAAGTGCATGCAGTTGAGATCAGTAGGACCAGCACTTCACCCTAAAAACATGACTTTGAGCAAGTTCTTGACTTCAAACAAATTTGTTCTTAGCTAGTATAACTGAGAATTATCATTTTAAGAAATGGAGTATTGAATCAAAAGATATTTTGTCTCTTAGCTCATGTGACTTAAATTTGTTATTTCTAGAAAATAATTATTTCGAAGCAAGCTGGAGGCTCTCAATATATGTTGAGATGGCATATCTTCTATCTTTAGATCAGACGTATCTCATTTTGACACATCTCAGACCTTTAAACCAATTTAATGTCCATGATCTCTTATCTGGGGACCTTAAAATAAGAATCTTTACTAGTATTGAGATAATCAAGTTTAAGGGTGCAACACTAAATAAAACTTTAGACAACATTTACTGTTTACAGTGCAGTATAAAAGCCAAGTATCTACAGTATGGTCAACATTTGGGACATTTGTATTATGTAGAACATAGACTAACACTGCATCTTAAAGCAGAACTGTAAAAGAGTGTTCAAAAGTATTGAGGTCTGTAGTTCCACATCTATTATAAAAGTTAAGCTTAAGTTTGATATGAGAAAAGTTGACCATAGTATTGTCATGACAAGTGTTTGGTACATGTACGTCAGACTCGCAATTTGCATGGTAAAAAAATAGCCTTACACTGCCTAGCTCCTCTATTTCGTCTTCCTCTCTGGACATCACACGTATTTGTCGTAATTCTGTATCCATGATCGTGGTGAGTAGTTATTATTTGGTCAACATTTTATCCATCAAAGAGTATAGAATGCCTTGCTACAAGAAACAACACAAGTGTTCCTTGGGAACCACGCATTCGCAACGGCCAGGGAACCGGGAAGACAAATACTTGCCCGCCAAAAACRTGCAACGCCCTTGAGAATATTTTTTAAATTTCTTTAATGATGTAGTGTGGTTTTAATCTGAACAAAACGCATTTAATTTCATGGGGGTATTTAACGATATTACAAACTTCAATTTAACACTCGACCAAATAATGTATGGCACTTACGATAGAAATATAAATTGAATCATTCCTTCGAATATAAAGTTTAAAATAAAACATCTTTCGTAGTTTGTACCTTTTTTAATGTGCTGGCAATTTTTTAGTGCGATCTGAGGCTTATAAATGTTTTTATTTTTTTTTATTTTGTTCTCTTTGTAATAGTCTCGGCAAACCGAAGAAATCCTTAACATATTTTTCAGAATCAGCAGTTCATATTTTGGCCATCAAATGATTACTTGATACTGATATCTGTTAGTCCAATGTTTTCTTTTATTCTTTTCATAAAAAATATCAAAAATAACGGCTCTAGCGAAAGGACGTCTCTTCAGTTTTCTCAGCCTACTTCTCTTAAATATCCCTTTTGATTTTAAAACTAAACGCATATCTGCGTGAACTCGGGCTTCATAGAAGAAAATCGAAAGAATTCTTCGTGAACACTGTCATCCTTCTAACGAAACTTTGAAAAATTCCGCCATTGCTCGACCATGTGCTTATGTGGCGCAATCTACGCACGCGCATAGAACTTGCGCATGCGCTTTGAACGCAACTGCGATTTGTGACAGAACGCAAATAAAGCCCAATTTATACCTCGGGTATTTCTTTGAAAGCCCGAGTAATAATTGAAATACAAGCTATATTTAAACAATTTTAATTTTGGTCTGGAGTAATATATTAATAGGTCTTAATATTTTCGTGATCTTGGTCTTTAAGACCCTGACTTAAATGTTTCCAAAGGTGGCAAAACTGTCAGGGAACATCTGAAAACATATTTACTCAATATCGGTTAGCGCATGCGCACTTTCAAAATAAAGCTAGCGTTGCTAAGTAACGAACTTTTATAATGTTGACTTTCGTGGATAAACGAGGAAACGTGGGGAAACATTGCTTCCATGCGTCTTGGAAGCATGAAATTTTTGCGTCTTGGAAGCAAAATTTGTTGCAGTTTCGCATGTGGCTAAACTTGGAATCATCGGGGAACATGCGCGCGGGACGGGAAACATGTTTCTGGAAACTTGTTTCCTCGTTTAGCCAGGCCTAACATTAGTTTCTCATTATAATGACTCTTATTCATAAACATTAAAAATACTTAGATGAAAATTAACCAATCACTGTTGTTACTTTAAATAACTTTTGAAAATAATTAGCCAATTTTGCTATATGAAGCAAGGTGAGACTATTACTGTCACTTTACTGGAAAATATCGACGCATTTTGAAGTAAGTCCCCAATATTTTTCATCGCGTTTCTTTTTCAAAGCGTTTAATTAGTTCTTATATTTGGCTATTCTTCTTTCTCCTAACTTTGCTGTTATTGCAATTGGCCCCGGTACTTTTTAACATTCTTTTCATCTGTAATATTATTTTCAAGATTTTCACACTCAGATCCTTTTGGTGCTATAGTTTGTTTTTGTTTTTTGTTTTTTCTCGGCCTTCTTTATGCTGTGTTGCTTTCCTCGTCGTCCTTGCTTTTTTTCTCCTTTCTTCTTCTTCTTCTTCTTCTTCT